TGAGCACATTTCCTCACTCTGCTGTTGTCTTTAGTCTCTCTTCTACATGTTTTGTGTAATTATTTCTATCAATAACATGTTTTTTCWTTGTCTCTTCCAGAAGAAGGTGCACCTGGACCAGTTCTTCTGTGTTTACCTGTGTCTCTTTCCTGTCCTCCAACCAGCCGGTTTTTTTCTTTGAAAGTTTTTTTCTTCTAATAATTAGGATTATGTTTGAGTTTTGTGTGTGTGTTTAACTTTGCCTGTTAAGTTTTGCATTAGAAGTTTATTCCAGAAGTTTAACAAATATGGAATAATATTCAGTGTGAATGCTTCATAGCATCATTTTGAGGTCATTTTTTCTTCCGTACATTTTTCAGCATCTAACTCATTCCACARTTTTTGTGCCATTTCAACAATTCATAAATCAAAAGATTCAGCTCATTTATGACAATCCTGCTATGACTTTTGGTATTTCAGGTATTTTGATTTTTTTTCAGCTATTTCACTTATTTAATCACTTTTTTGCCATTGAAAATGGCAAAAATCATCATCATCATCACTCACCTGAGCCACAGAGCTGTCTCTACCTGCTGACCCTGACTCATCAGCTCCTGCATCACCTGAAGATGGATTAAAAATTAGGTTTTTTTTTATATTATTGCCAGTTGAAGTCAGTCAGCTTTAAAAAGTCAGAAAATATCATGAAATGTGATGAATAAATAACAGATCCGGTCTGGTTTCATCAGTGATTGTGAGTCAACAGTGTCATCATCTGATTATTAAAGTTTTCAGACATGAACCAAGCTCTGGTTTACGCTGAAACTGTTCTAAGATTTAAAAAAGCTACTCTCACAATACGTTTTAGAATCAAATCATTTTATACTTTAATAAAAACACCCAATAAACTCCTGATTTGATTATTTTATTCCTGCTGATAACATCCCCAGCTGATCACTCTGTACTTTAACAGATGCTGCAAATTACATTAATTAGTGGTGATGTAAGCTAGCTGTAGCCAGCAGATAACTACATTAACTTGACGAAGCTGAAGTTAGCTTCCGATTCGGGAAATGACTAAAGGGCGATTACAACTAATTTTTCAATTCCTTCAGCATATTTAATCTTCTCTAGTTTAAAAACTAAAATACCTAGACTCTTCAAACCTGGACTAGATTGTTCTTCACCAATAGCAGAATAATTAAAACTTAGTTTGGGGTTTGTGAAAGCTTTTTCTGATTTGTGAAACTTCATCAAATGTAGTTTTTTTTTTTTTTTATCGTTTTTGTGCATCTGGACCACACTAGACCTGGTCCAGCTCCAAAACCACAACACCTAGACTCTTCAAACCAAGACTAGATTATTCTACACTCATAGAAGAATAACAAAAACTGAGTTTGAGCTTTGGGAAACCTTTGCCTGATTTGTGAAACATCAACAAAGTTTGTTTATCATCTTTTTTCAGGCAACTGGACCACACTAGACCTGGTCCAGCCCAAAAACCA